TAGTCCTGAACTTATGACCACAATTGAGCTCAAAATTTATGCTAAGTGAAAAATTTGTTAAGTGAGTCCTGCCCCATTTAAAGACGTTTCTTGCCACATTTCTTAAGCGAATAACTCCAGCTGTTAAATGGGTCACACGGCTGTTAAGTGAATCGGGTTCCCCCCATTGACTCTGCTAGTCAGAAGGTCCCAAAAAGGTATCCCATGTCCCCGGCACGCTGTGTCCGTCATAAATATAAATCAGTTGTCAAATCACGTGACCATGGGGGGATGCTGTTTGAAGCCGTCTGGCTTACTAAAATCGGTATGAAATGGAACGTAGCATTTGTATTGCTGCAATCAATTGTCTTGTCTTTCGTGAAGGTACCTGGTAACGTTCAGCCCCCTGATGGACACCCAGGATGACCCTCAAGCCATCATAATTTGGGATATCCTAACCGGACAGAAGAAACGAGGGTTCCACTGTGAGAGCTCCGCCCATTGGCCCATATTTAAGTATGTTCGTAGAGGACTAAAAACAATTGTGCTACACTTTTGACTACTGGGAAATATGACACACACACACACACCTCTCTCTAAACCTTTTGAATTTTTCTTGCTCAGGTGGAGTCACGATGGCAAATTCTTTGCCCGGATGACATCCGATACCCTTAGCATCTACGAAACACCTGTAAGTCTGATCATGCCTTAACCCAAACGTTACTTGTTGCAAACATGAACGAAAAGGGGAAGTTTTTCCTTTCACGCCATCCTTTTATTTATTTTTGTCTATAAATGAATTCGTAGATGCATTCCTAGGCTCGGGGGTGTAAAAGTTGCACTGATGCTTTTTGCTGTCTTAAGAGTATCCCTTTCTCATGGGAAGACGTCTCTGTTAAATACCCTCTCGGTACGAGTTGCAGGATTCTTATGTTGTCTTTTTTGCCCTTCTAGTCCATGGGCCTGCTGGATAAGAAAAGTTTGAAAATCACAGGGATCAAGTGAGTCTCCCTTTAAATCTGCTTTGAATCTCCCTTCTTCCAAACCCAGAGGAATAGATTTCACAGTACGGGTTGGTTGGCTGTTTCGAAATACATCTTTCTCCCCTTTTGCGACGCTTCTTTCTTGCTCCCCCTCAGAGACTTCTCCTGGTCCCCGGGAGGAAACATAATTGCCTTCTGGGTCCCGGAAGACAAAGACATCCCAGCGAGGGTGACCCTGATGCAGCTCCCCTCCCGGCAGGAGATCCGGGTGCGGAACCTGTTCAACGTGGTAGACTGCAAGCTCCACTGGCAGAAGAACGGGGATTACCTCTGCGTGAAAGTAGACCGGACCCCGAAGGGCACCCAGGTATTTGGCTTCTCACGCATACTGGTAAAACTGGCCAGTTGGAGAACACCGTATTTTTCGGAGTNGGGGTCGGTTTAGGTAAATCTGTTTGATGTATAGAGGAGCCCTTCCAGTGTTGTCAAGTACTTCTGTGTCCCACATTAGGGGGGCAAAGAACTGGAGAGGCTGCTGGTTTGGCTCCAGGTATCCCAGATTAGAATCTGATGCTTTATGATGACTTATTTTAACCACAGAGGAGAACAAAGCGATCCCAGTTAATCAGCCAAGATTACTTGGGAAAGTAGAAGCTTCTATTTCTGACTGTCCTGAGTTGAGTAGCAACCTGGAAGAATTATGTGAATAAACCGGGCAAGATGCCCTAATAGGTAGTTGAACATGTTGTCCAATTTGTGTTTATTGTTAGAATGTCCAGAACATTTGTGCATGGCTGATAAATTAACGCCTTGTAGTCCAAAAGAATGAAGAACTGTGAAGGACACAGCTGGCTTTAAAATAGAAGGGTGGAATAAATGTATGACAATAAGCTGTGTACATTAGATTAAAATGCACTTTTGAAAGCCAAGATAACTTGCTATGACTAGAATATTTGAACAGAGTTTTTCTCATACATCACACTGATTCTGCGGTGTTCAAAGCATTCAACATAGATAACTCAGTGACGGTTTTGGTAGTTTTGAAGCTCCTCCGGTTTAGAACACTGAAAAGTAATGCGGATCACAGAAGGAAGAACTGCTCAGTGCTATTGTGGCTGTTAGGCTGCCTTGAGACTGTTGAAACAAGCTGAGACAATTTGCTCAGGGGTTCATCTCAGAGCAATGATCACTGGCCTTTCGATAAGAGTCAAACGATACAGACCCTCCATGCTTCCCAGACTTTCTCCTTCATTACTCAAAACCGCTGACCAAGAAAGTCCTTTCCTCCCAATGATTCCAACTTGGGCTTTTGCTTCACTCCTTTCTGTGTGCTTTCAGGATGCTTAACAAATCTAATGTAGATGATTGGCTTTACCTTAGGAATGCAGTCATGGACTCTGTCCTTCACACACCTTTCTCATTGGTCTCTCTCTCTCTCACTCACTCACTCACTC